GTGTGTGTGTGTGTGTGTGCGTGAGTATGTGTGTGTATGCGTGTATGTGTATGCGTATGATGTGTTTGTATGTCAATGTGTATGTTTGTATGTGTACGTGTATGATATGTGTGTATGTCAATGTGTATGTGTGTATGTGTATGATATGTGTGTATGTCAATGTGTATGTGTGTATGTGTGTGTGCTTAAGAGTGTAAATTACTGTACAGTGGCTCATTCGATAAAGTTGTGGGCGTCGAAAATTATGGTACGTTAACTACTCTCTACCCCGGACCTTTAGCGACATATGCTCACAATACAAGCGTTTGACACATTTAAATCTAAAATTATTTGTATAGATATGTGTTTTAATAAAGCTTTTGCTTTATGTTCGTTCATATACTTGCATGTTTATACTTTTAATGCAACTCCATCCATATCTATTTAAATTTCAAAGCCATTTGATACGTACTTTTGTGCATTCATGTCACGCAAGTATGGCTGTATAACTTTGGAGCACGATTTAAACGTATGATTTATCAGCCCTAACATGATTCACGACATGTTTGTTAATCAAGTGATATGTTCAATTTCAAACTCGAATTCTCGCGCGAAAAGAACGGCCACATCCGTTTTTGCTGCACCAATGAATGAACGTATTTGTAGCCATCTACGTAGCTATGCATTCCGCACCCACATTCCCAAACATAATAGCTACCTGCTTGATATCAAGTATATAACCTAAAACGATGTCACAGATCCTTTGTTCGAGGCTATCACGAGTTACGTGCATCAATTTGCCCAAGCTTAGAACTAATACGTTCGTGATTTCACGCCACACTTTGGCAGGCGATATGGGTGGCCAGATTCGTCTGTGGTGTCGCAATGAATGGACTCAGCTCAAGGTACTACATACCGACCGTAATCCCATCCAGTCGCTTTACTGGGACGCCAGTCTTTTCTCTGGGGGAAGCGGTAGGTAGAACTATCTGTAGCTCCTTGTTTTAGGGTTTTAGGTTACATACGCAGGGAGAGCCGATGATCTCGGATTAATTTGGATATTTTGTTGTTGTTCTTTAGAGCCTATCAGGATAGCCACTATGTTCATTTTGCTTTCATACCTTTATCTTAGCTCAAAGAAAAAGAAACCCGATGTGTTGAAATCTCGTTGCAATAATTTTCTTGTGTCTATATCGAGAAGGTGGTGTACGTTTTACTATTTGCGCGGACTGTGTTGATGCTGGGAAAATCGTGATTCTCGAAACGCCTAAATTCTACAGTCCTTGAACCTCAATGATCCACGTGTAGTGAATACTTAAGGTTCTATTTGCCCTTGATCCCTATACCCTAAAATTACTTCAACATCCACTACGCAAGTGTGCTGAGATACCGAACATTTTAATATAAACACGTTGCAGATGCTGTGGTGCGAGAATGGGGTGACTTCAACCATGACGGAGACTGCACCGGGAAGAAGTCGCCTTCCACAGCTAGTTCTCTGGCTGATAAACAAGGTACAATGAATTGAACACATGTGCATATTTTTGCTTGATTTAGAACGAACCCAAGAACAGTGTATGGGATATAGTATGCATGATTCTGCTTGGTTTAAACAGACAGGTAACTGAAATACAGTACACTGCATATGGTATCGTATCAGTCTGCTTGGCTTTGGAATAATGTGAGCAATCAGCTATATATTAAAGTTATGTCAGCAATAAGCTATATATTAGGTATAGTGTTTATGATTCTGCTTAATTATAGCAAGCATACGGTTGTATCAAGCCTACTTTACCAGGCTCACAAGCAGATTAGCGAATTATTTCACAGAAAAAAAGCACTGTCCGATATGACTGCAGTTAGTTGAGGCATTGCGATGTCATGCATAAGCACTATCGCATAAACGGTGAAGTTCGATTCAGTATCATCACAGTATGTGACTTGCAGCCATTACAACCACTAGCATCTCCATCGTACACACACATGTTAATATTATATATGCAATATCATATATATATATATGTGTGTGTGTGTGTGTGTGTGTGTGTGTGTGTGAGTATGTATATGTATATATGTATATATGT